AATCTATTAGTTGTTCTGGTGTTGAATAATTAATTATTGAGTTGTTCATTTGTATTTCTTTTTCAAATTATGTCTGAGTAGAGTTACCAATTTGGATGTTTTAAATTCCATCTTGTGTTAGGGATGTCATTTGTGTCGCATTTTCTAGGTATGATAGATATATAGATTTGGATATGATCGCTACTGTATATTTTAGTGTCCACTGTCCAAGAGATTCGATGGGCTAGTGCTGAGTTGGAAAAAGATAGATCGATTGCTGACAAGTTTCCTTTGTGGGGATTTAGACGTGTGTTGCTTCCTGTATTTAAAAGGGTTAAATTATCGTTTTTTAATAATCTTTCTATTGCTTTGCCGCGTTTGTTCGTTGTTAATGAGCCCCATATTTCATTGTTACTGTTAAAATCGCCCGTGATAATGTACGGTGAAGGTAGTTGACTAATTAATTGGGTAAGGTCATTATCGTTAAAATTTGTTTGATTAGGTATATATACATTGCATACGGTAACTATTTCTTTACCGTGAATTGTTATCGCAATTGCTTCTAAATTGGTTGTTACTTTATTAGGTTTATTTGTGTACTGGAGAAAATGTCGGAGATGTAGATGGCTACACYACCTCTTACGCGGCGTGTATTTGTACGATTATTATAGTATCCCGTATATGCTGGAATATTTCCTATTGTTATTATCTTTAAAATTGGTTTCTTGTAGGCATAATATTTTTGGATGATTAATTGTAATTCGTTGTATTTTTTATAGAATCCATTAAGATTCCATTGTATTAAATTAAAGTTTTGAGATGTCATTAATTAATTGAATGGATATATATTATCTTGATTGCGTGTGTTTATTATTGTTGATGTTCTAATTATTCATCTTCATATATAGGTATCTCTAATTCGAAAAGTGCATTTGAGAATCGTGTTAAGCGGTTTTTAATCGATCTGTTGTTGATAACCGGGTATATGAGTTCAATAATTTTAATTATTTATAGTTGATTGGGTTCGATATTATAGTTATCACATAGTTCTTTTTTATCATTGCAGGTCTGAGCGTTTTCTATTAAAACTTTGAATTGCTTAAAACCGATTGATATATTGGTAGCGTTGTCGATAAAAATTTGTTTTGCTGGTTCTAATATTGCGTTTAGCTCGGTGGTTGCTTGCGGATTGATTCGTGATATTTTGGCTTTATTTATGGTGAGGTCTTTATGGATTTTGGTGGCAATTGTGTTTTGTACATTATCGATTGTTGTGTCTTCCTCAGAGTTTCGGGACATTGTTGGTGAGGAGGTCTTTTGTTGTCCATGAATGATATGAGGTCGATATCCTCGTTATCGGTGTTATTCGTTGCAGTAGTTATAATTGGGTTCTCTACAGGTGTTCTTTTTGTATGTTGCTTGTTTGGATTGTTGTTATTGTGTGTTGATGTTGTATGGTGAGAGTATCGTTTATTTTTCCAAAATTATTCTGATTTTTTATGGTTGCTTCTGTGGATTCATTGCAGCTGGAGGAAGTGTGACCAATTTTTTTACATATGAAGCTAGTTAGTGAATCATCCGAAAAAAAATTCTGTGGTTAGTTCCTTCGTGATTAATAAGTAAAGAATTAGGGAGATTTATGATGGTTTCTGTGGATACGAATATTTGTCTTCGGAAACTAAGGAGTAAGGATGTATCAAAAACCTTCTTTTTTGACGCTGGCTCTGAGATGAATTATTTGGCTGGTAGGGTTTATAGTTTATACCAATGTTGCTGAGTTCGCTTAAAATTGTTTCATTTGGTATTGTTGGGCATACGTTTGATATAATTTTATTCTTTTATCGGGGTTAAAGTATTTTCTTATTTTAATTGGTTTTTCGTTAATTATTAATGGTGTTGGGTGATTAACTACGCTGTCTACCAGTTCTACCGATGATAGCAATATGCAGAATCTATCTTTAGATATGCGTGACATGAATAATATATTTTCCGGTTTGGTTATTTCTGCTATTGCATATATATATTCATGATGTTGAATGTCATCAGTTATTTCGATTATTATCGCCTGTTCTTTTTTTGGGTTTCGAGTTTTAGCTGCTGCATTGGCGAATGAAATTTGGTTTTCATTGGTTATTAAGTTTGAAGGTGTTTGTTTTGGTGTGGATTGGTGTGGATTATTGTTGAGCTGTGGAGTTGAGTTGGTTTTGGCATTTGAGGTTTTAGATGTGATCTTTAGGTTATTGTTAGGTGTTTTGATTGTTTTGTTGTTAAGATGAAGATTATTAGGTGCTTTAGTGGCAAAGAAGTTGTTTTGGCCCTTTTTTATGGGCAATTTAGTATTAACGCTCATTGTAGGTTTGGTGTGGTTTACATTATTTTAAGTTCACTTACCTTATTTTGTTTGATTATATTCGATTTGTACAGATAGAGACGTTATCGTTGTGCAGATGAACTTTGCTATGTGCGACCGTCTCCGTTGAGCTGAACACGCGAACTGATTTAAAGTTTTGATCAGGCAGTGGAGTAGTGAACCAACATTTTTGATTTATATACAATAATTATTGATTTAAATATTATTATAATTTTTAATTAATTATACTGTTCTAGCACAAAATTTAAAGCTATTTAATTACCTAAATTTAATCTGTTATTAGTGATTTTTGATGTATTATTATTAAAAAAATACATTTTAATAATTAATATGTTAACGTTGGTGGATTTTAGAGGTATATGTAGTTTGAATTAAATGATTTTTGAAAAAAAATTTAATTATTTTTTTACAATAATTTATTAATCATTTTATACATATTATAAATTGATATGTATCTACTGACCGGCGAAATGAATAGGCAATCTCGGTACATAGACGTGTAGATGGCTCGCTGAACTGATTTAATAATAATGATAATAATATGGGAACACCATAATATATCGTTACGGCGCGTGACTGAAATACGTAATAAGTTAAATACTACCCATGACTTATTTAGTTTCACTTAATGAACCATTATCTAGCCGTTGATTCAGATTTTATATAATAAAAAATGTTATATGAAGATATTATAATGTTATATTCGGAGTACATAGTTTATTAGTTTGATAAATTGTAATATAACTTATAAGTGCATAACCACACTATGACTTAAGAACAATAGTTAATAATTATATGAATAGGAGATTAGTACAATTATTAGAAAATTCCATTTTGTACATTTTATCTTACAAAAAGAATAAAATCATTTTGAATATTTGTCCAAGTGAGTTTATATTTTATTTCAATCGTCGGCACGATATTTCGAGTATAATAATATCAAGCTCTTAAACCGGGCTATCATCTATTGCAATATTTAAAAGCTCTTACCTTGTACTTGTTAAAAAAGTAATATTAAAAGTCAGTACAGCCAAACTCGATAATTCGAATTTCAAGGTAGGTAAAAACTAATTCGAATTAGATATTATATATATATATATATATATATTTTATTAACTACAATATTACAAATAAAATATAACATTTTAAAACTTATTTCCTATATAATATGTATTAATTAATTAATACTTAATAGTGGTTTAATTTTATCTATGTCAGTCATATTTGGTCCTAAAGAAATTGTAACTCTTTCTTTACTGTTTTTTCTCCCGAACAATTCTCTCCATTTAAAAAAAAGTTTGGTTTTAGTGATTAAATTTAACATATGAATTAAAGTTACTATTGTTAAATTTGACTTATATCGACAAGTATTGCAATGAATGTATAGGAATTCCCAAGGGATGAAAAAAAATTTTGAGTTTTCGAGACTCGACTGTATTTGTTCCTTCCTCAAAATTTACATGGATTTTCGATACATATTGTGATCTTTAATAATATAATATGTTTAATTATTTTGATTACTGGAATCATTGGCTGATGAGTGAAATTTAGATATGTGAAATGTTATTTATACACCGATTGGATGTATTCTTATGTATAAATTCAGAAAGACAAATATGTTACGCATTTGTTGTACAATTAAATTGTTATTTTTTTTGTTTAAGTTCTTTGTGCGTTGAAGAATGTGTTCTTTTTAGTGGTAAAGTAGTGAAGTGAGTTTTTTTGTGTTTGTATTGTAGTCTGGTTCGGGAGCAGATAATATGCAAGAACCTTCAATTTTGGTGATTGTTTTCGGATGGAAAATTCTACCTAATATTTGTTGTTACTTGGGTGGTTAAAAAAAAAATGCCTTCATAATTTTTCAATAATTGGGAAAAATGTATTATATTTGCATGCAAAATTATTGTTTGAGTAAATCGATGTTTTTTTTTACCTCAGAAAGGAATCACTTGTTGACTATTGACTTTTCAAAATTCCTCTCATTATTATTTTTATATTTTCTATATACAATTAATTTTTAAAGTGAACAATCTTATTATGTATAGTTGTTTGGACTGGCTGTTGGCGTGGGCACACGTAAAAAACATATAATGCACCTTTAAATAAAGAATTACCATTATAATAAAATAAAACGCAAATTTTTCATAAGACATATTTGTATAATTTTTAGAATTAACAAATTTATTTATTAGTTGAATTATCTAATTATGTTTCAAAGAAAATAATGAGTAGATCAATTTTAATACGATTTAAATAACTGAACAACAATATTTAGATACCATATAAACATCTGCGTACGCCTAGAATATTATCTAGGTATATAATATATAATATTATATAATTAAATCGAAAAACAATACAATATTTACATATAATAATGATAATAATAGTAATAATAATAGCAATAAAGGAATGACTTTTTTTTGTTTTAAAAATTATTATAATCGAAAAACGATAAAAATATTTAAGTACACCCATTATAGTATAATATAACAAAGATAATAAGTATATGTTATATTATAATAAGTAATATTATAAATATGTATAGCAATAAAACCTTTAAAAAAAAGAAAATGTAATAAATTGACGCGTTAAAGTGATTATAATATAATAATAAAAACCATGTATTGTTATTTAATTAAGTATAGATTTAAAAGATTTAAATGTAAATAATTTTGGTAACGTAAAAGAATATATTTATATATATTTTATACAATAGAGTCTATCTTACAAACAAATTCAAGACGAATTTCGTGGTTAGTATTACTTAGTTCAAACTACAACTATTTGGTTATGTTAACCAAAATCAGAGGTTCTCAATAAATAGTACGCGAAATACTGTAAGTACGTGATTTTAAAGAAAATTTAATATTAGAATTATGATTAATATTAAATATTATGTTATATTAGTTTCAAGTTGTGCGTGAACATTTTTAATTTGTACTGGTATATAAAAAAAAGTAAAGAACTTCTGACTTAGATTATTAAAGTGTAATAATTATTTTGCTGAGTATCTATACCTATATCTAAGTTTAAATACAATTAATATATTATCTAACTAATAACATTTCAATCGCGTAGCAGCGTAGGTATTGGTTAAAAGTCATATTCATATTATATAATACTATATACTTAAGTGTATTGTATATACTAATGTGTATATTAGTGCCTAAATTACAAAATACGTTGTTGAGTTAATTAAAATTGAATTCATAAATAACAGTACCATATTATTATGTCCGACGACGTTCCAAAAATCGCTGTTTTCACTTACGCCATATTAATACCATTAATCATGTATTTATGGTTTTTTGATCAACCGAAATCGAAACAAAACGGAAACGTGCATGTTTTCATTAATTATTCACACGCATACCCGTGTATGTGAGATCGTTTAAAACGTTGCATATTTTAAAATATTTAAGTGGGTAGTAGGTACGTACATCGCCAGAACGAGGACACGAAATCATAAAAAAAAAAACGAAAATTTTTACATTCGCATTTTTTGAAGTATCCAATAATTAAAATGCAAAGATGTTTTAATTTTTATGTTTTTGGCGAGTGGGTAGTGTGTGTATGATACATATTTATAGATGTTCTTACCCACTACATAAAAATGCGAGTGGGCTATAGGACAATGATAGTGTGTGTGTTGGTGACTTGTTGTGTGGGTATGGGTGAGCGTAGAAAAGGTGGGAAGAGAGTAAGCATATACATCATATATTCAATATTGCAAGTTTGAAAACATCCGAGAAAAATAAAAATATTTTTACATTTGTGTCTACATACGTATACGCGTCGTCTTATAAATGGGTAAAATGCTTACAACTTTTTGTCTCTAAATTCTTGTATTGTTGCTATTGACTTAGCCAACATGTTGCCTATTGTAGGCCAAATTGAACGTTATGGAAGCGTTTCGGACGCCATTCGGATCCGAGCGGACAGTCTTGAACTATTGTGCACCTCGGCCGTCCTCAGCGTGATGCCGAATATGTCTTCGTGATAACGGTTATCGTCCTGCACAACAAATAATAATATTTATATGATTAACACGATGGCACAGCAGTAAAATATTGTATTCATGACGTGCATTTCAGGGGGGGGGGAGGGTGCACCTTGCAAACGACCAACGCCATATCGAATTCTTGAAAATTTCAAACGTCCCATACAAAAATTTTTTTCAAAGTATTACGTGAACACATAATATATTAGGCGCCTATTTGGTAAGTAACCATGGCAAGCGTCTGTACAGAGGCGTATAAATGATAAAATATTTTGTGCTTTTTTACCGATAAAGGCGTGTATACGATAAAATATGATATAAATAGCCATATTAGGTATATAGTTTAATTTTAAATTTTTTATACCTATCATATATTATACATATATACGCCGATGAGTATACTATTATAGGTATGTGATATATAAGTGGCAGCGTAATAACGTGATGCCAAGAATCAGTGACGTGTGCCTATCTCGTAGACTTTAATTTTGCGTTATACCTAGGACAACGGGAAAACGCTGTAAATACAATTTATGTATGACTTTGCATCATGTTGTGGGGGGTGGGGGTGGCTTGGAGTTTTAAAAATTTATCTGTGGGGATGGGATGAAAAATAAAAACCTCGTATTTCGTATTATACATTATTATAAAGCGCTTGTATAATAATTTTGCGATGTTCATTCAGAAGCATATTATTTTCTGCATGGTTATGGCGTTAAACCATAATTTAGAAAACGCAAAGTGTTTATAATAAACGGTTACTTGCATGTAGTTGCATAAAGTTGTATATTCTAGTAGATCATTTTGGTGCCCATGATCCCATTACGATATTACTTACAATTCACCATGCGTTAAAATATGATTAAATAGGCAATGGAATAGTAAATTTACGGGACTGGCTGATATTATATTTAAATTTATTTAGTTAACGTTTAATCAGGCAAACGAATTTGAATAAATCTCAACCCCATTGTTGCTTTAAATATTTTAAATTCTTTTGTTTTAAATATTACTTATGTGGAATTAACTAATAGATTAAAATATTAAACATATTATAAATAATAATTAATATTCATACAGCATGATTAATGATTATATTGCTATTACTGCGATAATAAATAACGTGTTAAACTTTTAATCTGTTATTGAGTATAAGTATTTTCAATGGGATAAAATATTTTTATTTCTGTAATGAAACGCATCGGGCCAAAAACAAAATTTTTTGCAGACATTAAATGTTGACTTAAAAATAAATAAATATATTTTTCAATTTATAAATTATTTTATAATGATATCAAATTTTTATATAACATTACTAATAAGTGCTCAAAAATAACTCCAATACCTACTCAACAATTTTTTTGTAGGGGATTTGGTTTCGATTATATATTGAGATTACCCCACGATTATTCAATTATGATTATGTGACTTTCAAAATATGAAACAAAAGATATTTCACGCTATTCTGTGAATATCGTTTAAATGTGTTTCTTAAAATCACGCTTAAAAAAGTAAAAATATCGTTCCTGACTTTTCGGCCTCGATCACCATAAATCTTGTATGAACGTACCCGTAATCCCAACATGAAGTTATCGGACTGTGTAGAATTCATGCCGGTCTGCTCTTGAATTATTGACTTGAGGGTCTGGTACACGTTTTCGGCCATTTTACAATCACCGCACACGTAAAAGTGTCCCCTTTCCACGGCTATTAATTCGTATATCATTTTCGCTTCCTTCAGCATCAAGTCCTGTACGTAAGTCTGTAAACAACAATATGGTCTTATAACACAGCGGATTCGTTAATATTATATATTATACGAGCAATAACAATACCATAATATTATTTTAGTTTTATCGTATCGATTCGGATGCACATTTGTTTAAAATCATAATATAAATTCAACAGTTATATAAATTGTAAAGTATAACTTCCTAGGTGGTAATAGCAATTCAGTTTTTAAAATGTATTTTTCGTATTAAATTTATCTACCATTTATACAGTACAAAATAAGTGTAATGACTAATGAGTAAATCTGATTAGTATGGAGGTTAGCATTTATGGATAGATACTCAGCAGTACCATCTGACCTGATATACTTTTCAAATATTATTATTATTGTTTTTTTTTTTTTTTTAATTTTAACTGGGTTCTAGGCCACTGTCTTTTGAGCCTTCTACGTACATTACCGGTAAGTGAGATAGAGGATAGAGTAGTTTAATTAATGGGTTACGGTAAGAGTTTCAGTTAGAATTAAATTAAAATAAAGTATTTTACTGAAATAAATAATAGAATTTAACATCAAGAGGGTTTTATAAGATCTATAATGTCTTATGGGTGACTTGTTTGTTTTATAGAATATTTTTGGTTTTCATTTGCGCCTGTATTATATTAATATTATTAATAGAAAAAAAAAAGTTGCGAATAATTTGAATACATATTGATTACGATTAACAAAAATTTTCTAATTCAACATTAAAAAAATTGTTTATTGGTTTGAGTTTAAAACTTAAAAATAATCTTATATAGATCCAAGGAGTATGTTATGCAGTATTTCTGGATCATTATTGCACGAACCGATACCGTTTTAGATGAAGTTTTCGATCAAAACCATTTGTATATATTTTAATAACACTGGTATGTCAATATTTGAATTTAAACTGACCTTTGGAATGGACGGCTCCCTGGATAGTGCTAAGTAAGTCTTGTCTAATACTCCTTCTTTTATCATTTCCATCTTGTCCGATTTGTAGAGATCCATCGATTTGTATTGGCATCCGAAGAACAACATGGTTCTGCCCATTTTGGTATCTGCTACGGACATAATGGGAGTGAGAAACTCTTGTATAACGGACGTTTTAAGATTATTATATTAATTTATATGCTATAATAATATAATGGGCGATATGAAAACGTGTCGTGTTTACCAATTCCGTTTTTCTTTTGTGCGTATCTGTGTTGCCAAAATCCTCGGAACGGGGCGATACCTGTGCCGGGACCCACAAGTATTAATGGCTTCGCTACGTCTTCGGGTAAATGGAAATTTGGTGCGCTACGAATTGAAAGAGAAATGGTTATTATAGACGTTTAGAGTAATATGATATTAGGTAGGTCAATCAGAGAACAGTGTTGTTAGACTGATTGATTGATAGTATAGTAATTGGTCAATGTTGGCATGATAATATCATATTGGTTTCAATAACAATTACTATAATTATTATTACCTTCGAATAAACATATACACCGTGTCATTAATGTTCGCATCTAACAAGTAATTGGAACATACGCCATAGTGAAGTGCACCTTTTCCACCTTAACAAAAATAATATCGATAATTATTTTTATATTCAAACCAATTTTTTACGTGAATAGTTTATATCATTCAACAATTTAACATTATAGACTGATATATACTATTTTTTTATACGTTTTTCATAATTCAGATAGATGTATCTCCTTTAAAGTTGAAAATAAAATTAAAACCGTATAATTTCTAGATGAAGCCTGTCGGTATCTATTACTTGATTAAGAATAAATCAAAATAATAATAACTTAGGTATACTCAACATATTAATCTAGTTATATATTTTAATCTAATGTTAAATGTTTAATAGAATTACCTTTAGTTTTATAAGTCACTACTGCGACAGTGAGGTGCACTTTGTGTGGATGTAATAAACTTGACGAAGAAATACTGTAAAATCTCGGTTGTAACGGTGTAAGCTGTGCGACTAATAAAGCAGCAGGTGGTTTAATAGAAGGAAACTCTTGGAAAATTTCTAGAAGATTGGGTAAATTCCAATGACGCCAATCTTCGTAAGCGGCACTGTCCTACAAAAACGGAAAATTAAAATTTAAAATAGTGATATTAAACAAAATGTGATAATGTCTTACTGTTGCTAGTGCTATGAGATTCTTTTTATCAGTGGGATCAGTAGCACACGAAGCGAAAAATTGTAGCATATTTGGTGTAGGCGGCGTAGTGATGTCTAAGAATCGTGTCAATAAAGTTCGCAAAGAGCATCTTGGTATCTTCTCGTGGGGGGACCAATTCTTTGAAATACCTTAAAGGACCAATAACGTCGATAAACATAAGAAAAAAAAATTTTTATAATATACATAGATACTATACTGTGTATTCAAAACATGAGTTTCTGTAAATTTACATTTATTTTGATGCCAAGCTTAGAATGTACGTTTCGTAATTTATAGTTTTCGTAATACTATTCATTATGAATAAAAAATCTAAACTATGTTCAAGGACTATTAAAACGTTGGGCTTGTTATAAGTGGACGGTCGGTGATTTAAAGTTTTCTACTTTTCTAAAGTCATAAATTTCACTTGCGAAACTTATCTTAGAATACGGTCTATTATGTGGGGCTTAGATTCTGGCATTCTGCAGTTGACTGTCATCGACTAGCATGGGTTTTGCAGTGTAGGTTTATGAGTTTTTCTAGTTATAATACCTATTAGAAAATGAATAGGTATTCAACTCGTGACTATGTATGAAAGTAAATTGTTTTTATTTTACATTTTCTCTATTTCAGAATGAAAATAATTTAAAAAAAAATCTCAATTGCATAAGTAAATTATCTTTATAAATGGAATTCGTAACGAATAGATTGTATGATATTTTCGTATTCGAATTTACAAAAATTTAAATATTTTAATGCCAGAAAAAAATAAATATTATACGTTTTCTTCCAATACATTATTGTTACCATTTAGCAAATAATGTGAAAACGTACATACATCTAAATATCTAACGACCATATCACTCAATTAATTTTGTATACATTTATATACGTATATATATTATTATTTCTAAGACGTAATAAAAATTTACAACTGCACACACATATATAATATAATATGTTTCATATTATACTTATACATAAGACTTACAAGTTAAAGTTTATCAATCATTTTACCTGAAGATGTATGTTTTTCTTTGAGCATTTGAAGTTCCATCGGTTCGTCGGGATCTTGATCACATTGTAAAAACGGAATAATACCTGATACAAGTTCATCTCGATTGGTGGCGAACATGCCCACATGATCGCCGGGTTGGTACATTATTTTATCCGATTTCGCCCAATCATCCACATCGATTTCTAGCCACAATGTCACTCGATCACTTTTGCCATCTTCACTGTTGCTCATTAAGTTCTGTTTGTTGGAGAGTCTGCATGTCCAAACCCGTTTGTTGTGATAGTGTGCGTATGCTAGAGTAAAAAAATACATGAGCAATTGTATGGACATGCCAATCGTTGATATTAATAACATTTAATTTTAATGTAATTTGTCCGTACCGGAATGGAGATCATCCGGTTCAGAATTATTCACGAATCGAACAGTAGACGCTGATAGATTTTCGTTATGAAGTACTTGTGACGCTTCGCTAAGAGACTCGTCCATATCCAAACAGAACGTTTCACACGCAACCTAATAATTTTCAATGTATTAGTCTTTTTTATTTTTATAAGAAGTGAACAGTGTTAGTAGCAAGGCTGGCCCCAAAAACGGAACACAGAAGCTAAAACAAAAATGTTATACAATGGTTTAAAAGTCATTTAAAAATATATTTTATACTAAACTTATGATATTACTGTAATACATTGTATATCTAATTTTTACATTATAAATACATAAAATGATTTAATACCGATAATGACCATAATATACGAGTGTAGAAAAATATGAAATATTGAATAATTTTCTTCTATACCTATATTATCATAATCATAAATAATATTAAGATATTAACCACACCGAAATTCCTAGCCGTCCATGTACAAATTATGACCATATTTTGACACATCCGACAAAGAGGAAACAATGACGTAAAAAAAATGATATATGATGAAACCACTATCGATTAAAAAATTGTCACTGTGGCGCTGCGCAGCCAACATCAAAAGAAATGAAAATATTAATTTAAATCATCAATTTTTTCACCAATGGTAGGTAACTAAAATGATTACACAGTTATTCAAATATATATATATATATATACATATATATATATATATACACATAGATATATTAATGTAAAAATAGGCTTACATATTATACATTGACTAGGCATCAAAAAGTCGCGAAAATACACTAACTTATAAACTTAACAACTTATAATTGCCTTTTATGTTACATCTCTCGTGATGCAAAAATATACCTTAGGTATGCATTAAGAGCCATTAAGCAAATATGTCAACAAACAAGTCACATTAAAGCACGTCCGTGTACGCTAAGTCACGCTTAGATACATACATACACAAATATTGAAGCAAATCACAAGTACAAATAAATATAAATGAAGAAATCAAGTTAATTTTAACTTATTGACTTAACATACTAGTTCGCTGTTTTAATTAATTTCAATTTAACTCAATTCATTTGTCATCTGTATGTTAATTTAAAATCATCTCATATTTTTTGATATTCCCAAATAAGTTAACTTTGAATTTTTGTACTACACAGAAAAATATTTTTATTAACAATGGTTTTCGCTGTTTTAGGTTTATAACATTATAAGTTTGCAGAATATAAAAAATATTATTTGAGAAAAAAATAAGATATTCTTATGAATAATTTCCTATTTGTATTTATAGATTAAAAACTAATAAATTGTAGTAGTTAGGTATTAATAAATATTGATATAGGGCTAACATTAGTTAGCCCATACAAATACGTCAATTTTAGCCAACGATGCAACGAACTATGTTATTCATAAATCATAATATTTCTATAAATTAATTTTTACTAGTGCAATAACCATAGATTATTCGAATAGTAATTTAGGTACCTATGAATATAAATTACTATTCAAGTGATGGCTATTTATTTTATAAAATATTACTTTATACTTAAATGCATATTTTTTTTTTATTATTAACTTAAATTATTAGTTGAAGTTAAGTTAAGTTAATAGTATTCGTTAAGTTGATCGAAGTCAACTTGACATAGGTATTTGGGTATTAACACATATCATTAACTTGTCCAGTCTTGTTGAAATACTCGAGTTTAAAGGCCAGACGGCCTGTGCACGAGATGATGAACTGCAAAAATCTAACTATTTCTGATTTTTATTCTATTCTAAAAATAAACTTCTGATCTTTCGTTTTTCTCAAATTTGAATTATTGCATTGGTGTATAGGTTTGGTCTTATTGGTTTAAATTTATGCTTATGATTATTTAAACAAAAAAAACCTCTTGTTATCATTTATGCATTACTCATTCGAAATTTTTATCTTAAAATCTTTGCTTGCTTTTATTTTAATTATGTAAATTTACAATTTACATCTTATAAACTAAATAAGCTACATGTAACAACAAATCCTAATAATCAAATAATAATGTTCTAAAAGTACTATCTAAATCTCATTGCTCCTAAGGGTTGGATTGTAAAGTATATCGACAGTATAATAGTATCGGGTAGCATTCAGTATTTCCGAAAGATTAACTTCTTGTACACACCCTTAAGATATTCATATTTTAGATTTATCGATATATGTATGACGACTACATGTATAACAAATATCTTAGATACATAATCAATCATCCATAATTATTAGGTATTCCGTGTGTATTACAAACAAACATCAACATATTCCATGAAAATAATTTTATAAACGACAGTAAATTTTAGTAAGTAACATCAGGTTGTTTCAATAAAATTTAAGTTATATAACATAGGTAACGTAGGTATGCGTAATTTTAGAAGTAGTTCACTTATGGTTAATTAAATATTGCAATAACAACGTACATCGAATCACGATTAACGCCCAGTGAGATATCGAAGACTAAGAATTCATCGTCACTACAAACAAGATAAGTGGCATTACATTTGGAATTATTAAAGCCAAAAACGGAATTATTAGTCCTTACTTAAGTACAGTAATATTTAGTAGCAGAGAAAAAAATTACACGAGCGTATACATAAAATATTAGGAATTCAAATCAATGTTATACACGTAAGTGATTACTATATTTTTAACATCTCTTATTTCCTCAATACCGTTTTCCTCTTTATTCCACTACAAATAGACGCCCAACGTGGGATTTTTATCTGCCTACTTACCGTTTTATTTATTTTGATTCTACTGCATTACGATATTTCAGTGTTTTCAGATAAGAGTAATCTTATGGTTATTTTCGAATAATAATCGATTTTAATTTAACACTTTTGATGATTTATTTGAAGAAATCACTATAAGTTTTATGTAATAAAGATCGCCGCACACGTTTGAACCGAGTACAAAAGCTTTTCCGTCGAAAAGCAATAAATCGGAAATATAAAATAAATACTTTTGATGTCAACATTGTTTTAAGTCTGCTCACATGAAAAACATCTGTAGCCCACTTTTTAAAGGCTTGCTCTTGGCCACACATCTCGTCGCCTTTATTGAGTTTGATGAGTCGTTCTCCACCAAGCTCACCTAGAAGATTATCAACATACGATCCAAATGCACAGAAGTTTGGATATGCACTCGAGCCCAATCCAAACACAGCGAATCTGTAACGAGTAAATATTATTTTTACMTTTTAAGTTTGATTTTAGATTTGAACATATTTTATTTTTTTACATCTTCCAGTAAACAAATAACATGAAATTGAAAACATAGTTCCATTCTTTAATAATTAATTATTTTATAATATTTATGATTTTATACGATGTTTATACAGTCATTGTAAAGTTTTTTCATTTTAAACTTCAATGAGAAAAATTCAAAAATATGCTTAAAAAAAGTTGATTTTTTTTCAAAGTTTAATATTTTTAGTTCATATCTAATAGTTGATTAATTAAAATAAATAAAGAGTTGAAGGAACAATTTTTCCTGATAAGTATAATTAAAACATTTATAATATTTTAATATGTATTTAATATAAAAATAAAAAGAGACTTAACTATTGATTAAATGTAAATGGCATATAGAATAGTACGAATTAAAAATAGATTTCAATTTAAAAATCAAACGTAAAATATAGATTAGGTAAAAACAAATCAATAAATTCACTAAACATGTATTATGCATGCACCATAAGGCATATTTAAAGAATTACATATTTAAATGTACAAAAAATATTTTCTACGTGTTTTAATTTTTTTTAAACAACTACATGAAGATGGATATTTTGTTTTATTTTTTTTTATTACAAAAATAATTATCCACCAGTTTGTAAAATAGAGAGGATTTTTTTTTATCAGCTTATAAATTATTTATAATACGTTTGAATTCATCTAAAACATGTGATTTCTTGTCTTAGGTCCAATATTTATGTACTAAAATTGAGTTTTGATGTTGTTTTTTCCTCCAATTTCGGGAATATAATATTTCAATAATTTACATAACTACCAAATTTACAATAAATAAGTACCTAAACATATATAATACACATTTGTTAATATGGCATCAAGATATTTAGTAGTAAGATAAGCCTAAAAAGTTTTGGGTTTTTTTTTAAAGTGGAGTAACTAAATCTTATCACCAGTTTTAAGAGTGCATTTGTGTGTGTTTTTTTTTGCCTTCTAGTTCATTCTAATTTATGGGTATATCCGTATTACAGTATTACTATCTTGATAAAAATTTGAACCGAAAATTTGATGTTTATACAAATTTTATATCAAAATTACACCATTGATCTTAATATAATATTGTAATTTATTGATATAAAATTCCAAGATTGGTAAAGTCAATTAACTTTTTTAACTCGTTCTGTTCAGTTATAAATAAGCTTAATAGAGTTAAATTAAAAATTAATATATATATATTTTTTTTATAAACCTTATTTAAAAGGTACAGTTTTAATTTATAATTGGTAAGAAAAATAGCATATATCTATAAAATAGACTCATTTTGTATATTTGTAAATTAAATTAAGTGTCCTTGCATAAGAAGTATTTGCAGTGAACTAGAGTTGTCCACCCTATTGCACGTTGACTCTTTAGCTAAATTTTCCCAATTAGAGTTAAAACTACCTGTCCTGTACTTTTTATAAAATAATTTATAGAAAACTTTGTCTATTGAAATTTTTGTGAATACAAGTTATAGCATTAATTATAATTTATCAATTATGGAATAATCCACTCCACAAGCATTTTTGAACTTAAATGTACACGTATTGTTTTCAATTTACTTAATTTTAATAGTTTACCTGACATTTCCAAGTGGTCCGAAGTTATCAACATCTGTTGAATCTTTGTTAGACAAATCATTTAGTTCGGTTAAATGGTAACATTCTGAAAGACTATTTGCCTTTATGAATGACGCGGAGCTAAAAATAAATATTTAAATATTGGTGATTACTTCTTGTTCTTTAACCACATTTGGATGTGCCAAGAGCTAGTACCTGAGAGGCGATGATTTAACAGCAAGTGATTTATTAGAATTAGTGCCTTCGTGTTCCATTTTCATTGAATGCAATTGTTGTGCGAATTCCTATAGTGAATAATAAAAACTCAAAAACAAATATTTTTTTATTGGAAAGTTGTGTTTTTATTTTTTTGAATAAGTTTTTGTTACGCTAAAAAAATAGAAGTATGATTTCTGCAGGGTTTTTCTTTTTGTTTATATTAACGAACTTCTAAGGAGTCAAAAAAATAAAGTTTCCTCATATTCTTTTTAAATATTGGCCAACCTCTAACTGTATGTACAACTAAACAAAAAATCTCCCCGGAATCGGGTAAATTATTTATAAATAACTTTTGATAAGTATAATTGAACCTGGAAAAACATACGTATTTACAATAGATGGCAAAAATATAACATTAGCAGTACATTAACTCTTAGGTTAAATTCTCAAAGGAGATCCATTTAGTTTAAGTATCCATCGATAACCAATAATATCCTTTTGTAAATTTAAAATAACATTTAGATTCCGGGAAAGGACTCTGGTTCGTTTATTTGGATTATTATTTTTTTTGATTTCGAGAAATTGCAAAAACTAGTTCATTTGAAATTCATTCTGTGAATTTCGCAATTTTTTTTGGCAGTTATTTTTACGCTTATGATTATACAAATACAAAATTGATAGATACAGTTATAATGAAGCATTATTTCTAGCTTAAAATATGTTCAACGTTCATATGAAAAACATACACATCTAATGCTATTTATACAAACAATGGCCACTTTTCACAATCTAAAAAGGATCATAAAGTTGTGGGTAGTGGCCTTTTATTTAAAAATAAATGTTAGTAAAGTTGTGCTGTTTGGTGTTTTATTTCTTTAATTTATACATTATGATCTTTTTACACGATATTATCTTCACCTGAATGGGTTCAAAATTTTGAATTAATCATTTACCTGTCATAGGTTTTACAAGCTAGACTAGGAATATTTATGATTTTTGGAGAGGTAGGGACTCCGGACTCCGACTAATTTGTGTTTTAAATTAAAAACTAATTGTAGTTTATCTGGATTAATAAAACATGCACTTTACAACTGGCACTATTATTAATCATATCATTTTTACTCAATTAAGTGCGTAAATTTACCAAATCTAAACCTTCCTATCTAAATATTTTATTTATGTTAAGTACAATTACAGCTCTATTCATACACCTCTATTAAAAAAAAAAAAAAAAAATATTTAAAAAAATTAAAAATACGAGGTATAGTAATATAGTACTCGTAGGTATAGTTAAGTATGTTTAAAAAAACCTTGTAATTAACTAGTCATTAATTATTTATGTTAATTGTTTAGTAATTAGCATTTGTTTTTAATTAATAATAATTATAACTTAAACATACCTGTCCATTCTCGGGAGGATCACCATTTCCAAAAGTTGATACAACGACTAACAACAACGCCTCGTGTTCAATACTTGTCATATCATATTCATCCATGCTCATTACCTTTTATATTAATTTGAATGTCATTCAAATATTAATTAAAATCAAAATACTGTCGTTTTAAAATAATATAATGTAAACATAKTGATTGTTGATATAATACATTTTTTTTGTGATTTCGTGCGTATTGGTAAATTAATTATCCATGCAATGTACCTGAGAATGAAAAGCATGTGCAAATATTTCACCCAATTTTTTCGCATACATTTCTGATCTTCCTGTTTCTGTTGCATATAGGATGGTTGCTTTAATCCTACGAGACAATGCTTGTCCAAATAATTTCGATGTGAATTTCACAGCTCTAATCGAAAAAAAAAATGAAATTTAGTTAAATGGAATTAAAATTTTTAGGTATCAATAATATATATGGTTTTCTCAAAATACCTAGCGATTTGTTTAAAGTGGAACTTTCGTCTCTGTTTTTTTAAAGATTTTCCTTGATTTTGTCCTTTTTTCCAAACATGAGTTTTCCAGGCTGGTTCCTTTAAACAAATTATTTACTAAATATTATTTAGTGATTTATTAATGCGATTTAAGAAACAAGAAATAATTTTAGATATAAATGTATAATTATAGCAATTGTGTGTTATTGTAATATTATTTTTCAGAAATAAGATTTTTTAAATATTTCGTGTAGGTTTATGATTTATGTGAATTATGTATTTTTAATTTTAAATTAAACCGTGCTTTCAACAATATATTCAATCTTTTTTTGCTTAAACGATTTTAATATTTACAATGTATGTTTTTTTGATTAAAATAAGCTCCTATAGCATTATAAATGTTTACATATAGGTATTATGTTATTCTTAGTACATTGATTATTTTAATAAATAAAGTAAATGTATTAATGGTAAATTAACTGAACTCATAATCTTTCAAGTCCATTTATATAAAATTTCAGATTTTACCTGATAAGCATACATTGGGTGAAGTTCGTAGCTGACCATTTCTTGGTGAAAAACAGGTGTGATGGAGCCAGAAATTGGAGGCACAATCCACACCCAATCCGCGGGGCATCCTTTTCTTGTTCTTAATTCGTTGTCGTAGTGTTTCATAAACGATTCGGATGCAGTGTGATGATCCATTATAGTTATATTGTTTGACTGTTGTGAAAATATTGTTATAACTTAAGATCGTTAAAATTTACTAAAATAGTTATTTACAAAAACAAGCACCTTATATTATATTGACTTACTTGGAAACTATGAAGTACGGCTAAGTTCACTTCAACAAGAGCGCGATCTTTTTTCAAAAATCCATAATTTTTCAATTCGCTTTTCATACGTTCTAAAACTTCCTGTAAGTTGTAAATAGTTTTTAAATATAAAACTTTATCATCAAAAATCCATTGATCGCTTACATCTAGAACATTGTATCTATGTGGATCGCATAGATTCCTACATCCGATTTCCGAACTCATGTACCACCCGTTGAACGGACACGCTGTGAACTGGATTCCTCCACAGTCAAACATCATCCCGGATACTGCGGGGAGACAGTACCACCTGAGACCCAAGTCAGAAAACCAATCGAATCTGCAAACAAATCAGTTGAAGCTATCAAATAAAGTGATGTAAATTTAAAACGCGCTTCGTCTCACTGAGCCGTTATCTTTCCGTTCACAAGTATAGTTATACTAAAAGTATATACTAAAATATATATTATGTTTTCATTTTTCAGTCCGTAAGATAAGCCAAATTTTGATATTTGAGATTGAGGTTAAGATACATTTTGATTTTAGGTCAAAGAAAAATTGATTTATTCTACTGAAAGCAATAATTTGTTCGGCTTTATATACAATAGTTAGGCCTTTCCACTTTATTAAAATGATTTTGCCAAAAACAGTGATTAAAAAAAAAAAAGAATATATGAATAATCTAGTGGCGGCTCGTGAGTTTTATGTAGGTTGTGCACAACCAATGTATAAGATACCTATGTAGGATGGTAAAAAATATTAATTCTGTAACAATATGATTTTAATTCGTTTTTATATTATATTGTTGATATTATGTAGTAGTTATTAGTTGATTTGAGAGTACACATGTAGAAATTAAGTACAGTGGTGCGATATCGTTTCGACGATCGATGCGACATTGCGGTACGGTAAGGATAGGTTTGGTGCACATATTAAAATATGTGCTCTTAATTACCATTTTATTATAGATTATAACTTATCGATGTGTCGAGGCATGTAGCTAATATTTACACGGCTGTGAACTTTATTTTAATAGTTTATAGACACACTTCTCAACATGAAAAGCTGCCAAAACTTTTTTTTATTAGGTACAGACAATGTGTATTATAATATAATATATAATATAATATAATAACCAATTAATAATATGTTACTATAGGAATCTAATAATTTTTCATGCATATTTTTTTTTTTTTGGTTCACGGGCTCCTGTAGCCCTGTGCACCATACTATGAGTTATCACTGGAATAACTTCATTATGTGACCACACATACTATGAAGGCTCAAATATATTTATAGATTTAATATAATTTTATACACTCAATAGCACAATAACTATGTCCTATGTAGTATGTATAATAATATGCAAGTTGTCTGAAGCGTTAATGAGTATACTTATAAGTAGTTTGAATCTAGAAGATTTGAAAATCATACACCAAAATTACATAATATTTATGCATTATCTTTCAGATTCACTCTGTATAATATAATATATATATATATATATATATATATATGTTACGGCTAAACGTCCGAAGTGCGAGTGAAGTGCATATCGTCCATACCAGTTATTGGGATAAAGGAAACACTCAAAATGTAAAATTATTGTTTCGTACATAACCAGCTATTTTGTACATTAGCCACTGATGGATGGATGAAGTAACGGGTTAGAAAAATAGAAGAAACCTGGTATTATATCATATTTTCAAAAAAAAATAACCTAACCAATTTTATGGTGTTGTTTTTATGACGAGAAAACCGTACAAATATAAGATGACATTTTAACAATAATAGTCATAATAATAATAATAAATAGTAGTATCAATACACTATAAATTATAATAATATTATTCTTTCACTACCCAATTATCTAKCAATCTTAATCTTAATCGTTTGATGTTTATTTCCCAATATTCAATTTTAGCTTATATTAAAAGTATCTACCTAACCTATATGAGTACCTATAACGTCAGTTGAAATTTAATTGAGTTCGAATCTGGACGCATACACCACAATAAGATGTATTCAAAACAAAATTTTATTTATTTATCATAAAAAAAAATATTTCAAAATAGTATTATAAATTAAAAACGTGAGATCAAAACTAAAAAAAATCAAGCGTAGTCGTAAAAAAAAGGTCTTGTTACTAAACCAATGATATTCTCTGAAATGAATGGTAGAGCTCAAGTTGACATTATTGACATAATAAAGTCACAAGTAGACTGGGCGGAATATTATTATTATTATTATGGTTTACCAAGACSATGTTACAAAGCTTATACAAATAAGAGCATTAAAAACCAAACAAGCTGAAGAGGTTGCAAAACATATTATAGACATATTTTGTATTTTTGGTGTTCCAAAAGTGTGGTAATGATATCAAAATTGAATTGTCGACGTATATTCTTTTACCAGAAACTATAGATCATATATCATCATCAGAAGATTAAATAATACATAAATAATACTGTTTACAAAATATTAAATAACTTTTTTTTTCGTAGGATGAAGAAATGTCTAAAATGTGTGAGTGTTGTGGAAGTAATACTCAAAACATTTTAAACGAAGGTGCAAATAAACAACGTATTTGTAATTTGTTTGCAAAATAGGTAATTTATTTTCAAAAATAATCTTAACCGTAATTATGATATTATTTAAAATTAATTATATCTAATAAAATAATAAAATAGATTTTATATCTAGGTAATAAAAATTAATTTAATGTAACATAAAGTATATTTTAATATTTAATTATTAACTTATATTAATTAATTTTATTGAAATAAATATAATATATTATGTATTAATACTACTAATAATATTTTACATTAGCCGTGAAAAGGAGGCTCAAGTTATTACCTACTTTATCGGGGTAATATAGAGATAATCCATATCCTAATGTCAAGGCTATAGAATCCAAAATTGTTAATTTAGTGCTTATCTGTATGACTGTAAATTGGTGTACATATGTATACCGTATATAAGCATACGGAATCCTAATTTAATTTAATGTTTTTCAAATTATCTTACAAGTTATAAGATTTTGTGGTACATTTTTTCACTATCGTTAATTTCGGCTCGACTACACCTGGAAAATTTTTCGTAAAAATATGAAAATCAAAAATGTCTTGATACTGTTCAGTACAAATTTTTACAATGATAATATCTTGTGTCTTTTGGAAAAAATATATACATGATTCTAATATAAAATTTATCATAATAGGTACAAGATACTAGATATAATAATATATTTATATCTTTGATACTGTATAACCCTGGCTGTCATGTAAAAATACATTTTGGTGCGCGTAACGCCGAGAGGTACAGCAAGCATTACACAAATAAATACATGTTATATATAATTTTTCCAAAGAGAAGAAGAGAGACTAGAGAGTACTTCTGGGTCCACACGTGATCATTTTCAGCACGTCCAGTTCAAGCGTCAATAATTTCTTTCACGTCATATTTGATGATAAAACATAAAACGATATACGTGAGTAATATTTCGAGTTTCCTAAAAATGTATAAATGTGTACCTAAATTACTTAAATTAATATTACCATAAATTAACAATTTTGTTCGATTAATCAAAAATGTATTGTTATCTATTATTAGTTAATTTTATACAAATACTAAAACGTGTACAAATTGGCTTTAAAAGATTACGGATTTAGAAGAAAACTGTAAACGCCTTATTATATAAAACACATCATCAGTAAAAACATTATATGTTGACCTATTTCAATATGATCTTTGAATCTTAGATCTTTGATCAAACCGATCAGAGTGCCATGTGCGGACGTTCATGTCTCGTCAAACTAAAACTTTAAGAGAACGGCTTATCACAGACATCGCACCCGTATGGTTTTTAGCCAGTGTGTGTTCGTCGAATATTGTCAAATCGCTAATTCTGTTGAATGACTTGTCACACTCATCGACGAACACACGCTGGAGAAAAACCATACGTGTGAGATTTTTCACCAGTGTGTGTTCTTCGATGTTTTGTCAATTCGCTACTTCCATTGATGACTTGTCACAGACATCAGACATCGCATGGGTGATATTTCTTCTCCATTTATTCAAAGAGTGACAGTAGGCTGCTTCTATTTGTAAGCAATGTATTCAACATTCATTTGTTTTTCGTAAAACTATTTGGTAACTATAATTTTCTGCTTATGATAGATTAGATTTTATTGATTTCACCAGATTTTCAATCCAGTATTTGATGTAGTATTTTATAAGTATTAAAAATAGAGTGTTATGCTCTTATTATTATTAATGTATATTACATTTTRTAATAACAACAATATTATTTTTAATTTACCATTGTAAAAAATACCACGCAAGTGCCGGTCGCTACTAGCTCTCACGGCGGCAGTCCGCCTTAGTAGACTGACCGTCACACCCGTGACTCTTGCAGTCCCTACCGTGTAAATATTAAATAATTATTATATGGAAATATATAACARGCATGATACCAATAGACTATGTGTTGTTATTCCAGACGCTGGTCCGCTGTCTCACWGTTTAGATAGTGATTACTACTAACTTGACAATATATTTGGTATTTGATAACTGTCACTCTAGCCAAGTTTAGTTATACACTAAATTAGATACAATATGTGAATATTACCACTGATTGAAATATTTTACTATCCCTATGCTAGCTTTTTCCGAAGAATAAATAAAAATGTAAGTGAAAATTATATTTTATTTCGACGTTTATCCTGAATAAACACAGTCATTGTTTTTCAAGTCRATAATGCCATTGGATATTTATAATTTATTCTGACGTGTACCCAATGAATTATAAACTTTAAAATTATTAGGTAAAAATAATTAGTCTAACAATTTAAAATTATAAATTATTTTATTGTCCACTACAAATTTAGAGACATAAGTTGCTGCAGAACTTTCGTTGAATGACATAAAAAAAATTAGGAAAATACTAAAATCTTAAATTATTTGTCGAATAATCACCCATATGGCCATATATAAAACCAAATTAAGTTCGAAACGACGATTTCTGTTGGAATCACTTTTATTGGTATAAATATAAAAATATAATCATGAAACAAAACACTTATAGTAGTTGCTTCACACTCAAACGATCTTCGTCCTACGGTTTTGCCGATTTTTAAGATGACAGCGTACGGGTTTATCGAGCACGTGGCCCAAAACTAGTTAATTTTAAGAATACTATAATAACATTATCCAATTTTGGACTTTAGCAGTAACATATACGTATATATTAYATAATATGTAATCACTCACAGTCATAAATAAGACTAATAATTGAAAAATGTTTAGATAATGTGTTGGAACACTGTGTTAAGTTTATAATGGTTAAATACAAAAATATACATAATATTATCGTAACACCAGCAATATTGTATAAGCTGATAATGGAGAGTATGGACAAGTAGTATACGTCGTTATATATTTTGTCAGTGTTCTGTATTTAAAATTGGATGAAATACACTTTTTTTTTTATAGTTTATCAACATTAAATTAATTTTCAGTTATAATAATTATACGCAATAATAATCAACAAGTTATTAGGAAGCATATTAAGATTCGAGAATAAAATGTAATTATGCGATTTTATCAATCGTCCGAACTGGAGATTATTGTATGGAATAATAAATGTAGTTCACTTTTTAATCAATTTATATTTTATTCAAGCAAATTATCTTTGGTTTTTATGAGGAATTTTATTGGTTTTTAATCAAACTGCTTCGTTAAAAGAAAAATAATATTTTTTATCCCTTAACTATTTACTTCCTTTCGACACTATATCTCACGTTATATACATCAAAATATGAAACTCATAGCAAACATATATGGGTCATTATGTGTGTAATGTGTGTATATTTTAATAACTTTCATGCATATTTATTATGACGCCATATGCCATATACCTACTTTATAAAATGTTTTACTGGTTTAAATACCGGAATATRCAGTAGTTTGATGAAAACTCTAGTAAAAATCCTAGAAATATCATACACGTATAATTGCCAATTATACACAGTAAACAATTTTATTAAGATTTATGTGCATCGTTTTTATTCATGTTTCTTAGTTGTATTATATTCATGGAATGAAATTAAGAAACAAATATTTATGCATCAAAAAATATTTGCAAAAAATTCAGTACAAATATTTACAAAGTTAACTAAGTGAAAATTACTAGTTTAAATATTTGGATACGCAATTCGTGTTCGAAAAATCAAATTATGTGTATAAAAATATCATCAATTGTAATTGTATCTTTGGTATAAAATTTAAAATAAAAAAAAAAAATAATTGTATCGTTGTCTTGTCTTATATATACGTGTTAAATATTTAAGTACACGATGGACCGATATTCTAAAATCCTTGATTATTCATAATATCATAATGACATAATTTATTTTAATGTGTTAAGTATAGCGTGTAATAGTTTGTACTCACGAAGGATGAACAAGTGAAACCTCCAAAACTAGTTCCCTCGGTAAATCGAAATAATCTGGATCGTGACCGTTTGCTGATAACACTAAAGGCAGTAAATCCCATCTTGTGCCCTTTCCGCGCCAACCGAGTTTCATACACACCTGAAAGCCACGTCACTTCGTTAATTTAATTAAGTCCAGAACGTCATATTGTACCAATTGAGTGTTTGGCGTACCAACATATTAACATATTTCGGGTAAAGTATGTAACGTAACGCCTACCACACATTCCGTGTACGCATGCCCACTCCACGTGACCACACATTCCGTGCAATGTACGTGAATTACCGAAAATTTTAGTTTGAACAGTCATAGTATTACTCGTATATTATAATAAAAAACAAAAACAATAATATGTACGATTGAATCTGGGTTTAAATTCTAATAAAYTTGTTTCATGTAAAGTATATTGTATAAATGTAATAAATAAAAACTGAATTTTGCATAAAATACATTTTGTTATTTTAAACATAATAAACATGCATTCATTGAGTGTACATAAACCATTACTTAATYGATKAAATATCAAAATTTTATACTGTATTGTTTTGTATATTCTGACATATGTTGGTTGTGCAAGTAACAGTGGAAACGTGGCTCTACTGGTTTTATCTGACAATGAACTTTCTACAGGAGCAAATAGCACAATAATTTAAACAAAATTTCCAAATGTTTCAAAAAAAAATAAAGGACTAATGGTTTTAAAAGAAATTTTGAAAATATTTCAAGGTGGCAGTGGTCATTTCAACGATTTGTCTGTTCCAAATTATTCGTCGGATGTATTTTTAATAAAAATTTAAATAAAATTAATAACTAATTATGAGTGATAAATGATAATTTATTACTTCAAAATTTAAGTAAAATATAAAATTCAATAGAAATTGAAATTTTAGTATGCGTGTTTTGCCTTTTATTCTAGCATACCGGGTATCCCGCGAGGATTATTTACCCATTGTGATATCTCACGAAATAATGGAGATATCACAATTCTGGTTTTGTTATAAGACTTACAGGGATAAGAACTACAATTTTATTATTTCATTTTTAAATTTAATTAAAATGTTTTGGTAAAAAATTAAAAATTAATTTTTTTATTTAATTATTTCCAAAAAATTGACTATAACCATTTTGTAGAGTTTATTTTCTGAAAATATTGACGTTTCAAAACTTCATTTTTACTAACTTCATGATTTTTAATATTTTTTCTAGTTTTGAAGAAATAAAATATGATTATAACTATTAACTAGACACACTGGAAGACGGAAGTGTTAGGCTGGCCGTACAAGAATCCTTGCGGCGCGGCGTGTTACATGTAACACTACAATGTTAAATAATTCGAAATTTTGCTCGAAACTAAAAAAAAATTAAAAATCAAAAAATTAATGAAAAT